CATTGCCCTTTCTAATTGCCATACCTATTGCAATACATACAGCTGCAGGGTTTTAGCTAAAATAATATCATAATATCAAATGCCAAACTGAAGCATGTGATGATACTGAATATCTATACAAAAGATACAACAACAACAACAACATACCCAGTATATTCCCAACAGGTTGGGGTCTGGGGAGTCAGTTGTACGCAGACCTTACCCTTGTAATTATACAAGGAGGCTGTTTCTGTAGCGACCCAAGGTGCATTGCGCCGTTTGATATTTTTATTTTTTTTTCTAAAAACTTCACTAATAGTAGAAGCACTAGAATTTAATTGAGCCATTTTGATCTAGTCCATTATTAGCACTATGCCAGGAGAATTGTCAACAATGACTCTTCCAGCTCCATTTGCAATGGACAATACTGAATATCTATACAAAAGATAAACTCAAAGATAATAATTTAGACCAATAGATACACTTCCTAATCACCAAAGAATCAACATTCATGTATGAGACGGTCTAACCATTAGGCGGAAAGACTCGTCATACTATTTTTAACAAAAAATGCATACTTATACTATGAAATGACATGCTTTTGTTCATGGTGTTTTTTATACTATGTCATTTTAGCTTGAAAGTATGCATATCTGTTGAAAAAGTATGACGGCCTTCTGCCTAACCATTAGTAATTAGGTCTACCTAACAGTTGCAGAAGAATACCTTCTAACTTACATAAACTGCCTCATTTCTATACATCACAATACTATTAAAAATTAATCCAAACAACTGTTACATTGATTCCAGTTTCCTAACAAAGCATTCAACTTCTTCAGGGCCAAACCAGTCTTCTTTCATCTAAAAATACATAAACAAAGCAAAAGAAAAAAAAAAAAATCACCATGAAAGTAAATGTGGACTATGAAAGAGACAGTAAAATGAACATGGAGAAAGAAGATAACTTACAACACGAGGACATCCCATGGAAAAGCTACAACTTTCAAGGGCACTCTGTACACATAAGTTTATGTAGTAAAGAACGTAGAATCCACATTCAGTGTCACTTTTCTGTTGTGGCACCTGGAATCAATTATCTTTTTAAGTGTATATAATAAAACATCAAAAGAGAGAGAGAGAGAGAGAGAGAGAGAGAGATGGAGAGATGTATGACATAAAAAAAAAAGAAAGAAAGAAAGAACAAAAAGAATTCAGCTTTTGTTCGAATGCCAACTCTGCCCTTGACTACATAGTTAAATGAGATCCAAAATTTTATGGTCATTATGTAAAAAAAAAGGGCACTTTTACAGCCAATTCGTCAAACCCTCTATTTTTAACAACATTCAGAGAAATCTGAAGTGTTTGCAAACACTCCACAAGAATTGTCACCTTAGGAATTCTAAGAGGAATTTTATTGACTGCGTTTTTATTCTCCGGTCGTTCTTCTGCATTAAATATGTCGAAGACAAACCTGGTGACATAAATAATGATGAAAAAGGTTAGAAGTTATTATAAGCTGCAATCCCATAAAATACAGTCTCCTGCTGACCATTTAAGTCAAGTAAAAGCAAAAAAAAGCTATATTAAGTGCTCATCTCACAGAACACCTTCTTATCCCAGGTTCTAACTTCTTAGCATGGGCCTCTTTCAGTGAATCTAGCAACAGCATGCAACGACTTTTGGTTTTTGCCTCTGGATTTTCACCAAAATTACAAAGGATCAAAAGAAACCAGTGACCCCTAACAAAATGGAACCCCAATCAGTGAACAAAAAACAATCTTGAATTTGATCATAATGATACTTGGTGTTATATTAAAAACCAGGGTGCCACATACCACTGTACGATTGGAACAAAAACATATTTCTTTGAAAATATATTTTTCTTCTTGATCCAACTCAACACCTTTTCTTTACAAGCTCCTTTTGAGTACAAGGAAAACCACAAGGAATCGAGATAAGTAAACGAGTTCTTCTTCTCTTCCGTATAACATCTCCACATATTCCTGCATTATATGAAATGAAAGGTCAACAATGATACAGATTAAACGAAATATTACTTATTTGTATATATTAATATGATATATCTTACTCCAAGTAGACTTCAAACTTTCTTGAGTCTAACTTTCCCCTCTTCTGAGTTCCTGTGGCCATATGTTGTTGCCTAGTTGATCGTCTAAGATAGCTTGACTTACATTCAGAAAAAGAATCATAATTACTAGGCTCTGCCTCTCGTTTACTTGTCATATTCCGAGGCGAATGTTTGTCAATGTGGCATTGAATTTGGCTCTCGTTCACTAGGCTTCCTACTTGAGTTCCTGTGTGAAAATGCATAATTTTTATGGGATTATAATAATTTGATGCCATTGAAAGATGTGATTGTCAGCTTTTGATTTGTCAAAAGAATAAAAATTTTTGTGCTTTCAAATGTAAACTTCAGGTTGTGAGTTTTACAAACAAAGAACCATTTACAACTTATATAACACAGACTTCGTATTAACTATTTCGAATGTTAGCTTCTATTCATATGCTGATTATTCTTTGCTTCTGCTATGATACATCACTTTCTGTAATAAAATATAATGCATAAGAGCACAACGTAGATTCTAAACCGTAAAATTAGGCACCAAAACAAGATTCATATAAGATTTGAGCTACAAAACAAAAAAAGTCAGATCATCATAATGCAAAAGATTGCTTACGCCCAAAAGACGAACATGGTTTGATCCTACCGAAAAATGTTGAGCAATAACTAAAGCCATACCA